GATAATACTCAGAGTATATTTGTGCTACTGGATATCTGTCACATGCTTAAACTTGTCAGAAACACTTTAGGGGAGTATGGTTTATTGGTTGACAATGAAGGCCAGAAGATCCGGTGGCAGTACATTAATGAGTTACATAAACTCCAGGAGAAAGAGGGGCTTAGATTAGGCAATAAGCTTAAAGCAGCACACATTGAGTGGCGTCAGCAAAAAATGAAAGTTAACATAGCAGCACAAACATTCAGTTCTATTGTAGCTGATGCCATTGAGTACTGTGCAACCCATCTAAAGCTTAAGCAGTTTCAGGGAGCTGAAGCAACCATAAAATTCAATAGAATCTTTGACAGGCTCTTTGATATGCTGAATTCAAGGAATCCGCTAGCCAAAGGTTTCAAGTCTCCTCTTAGAATTGGAAACCAGGCAACTTGGGATTCTTTTTTCAATGTTGCATTTAGTTACATCTTAGGGCTGAAAGATTCAACTGGAAATCAGATGCATAAATCACGTCGAAAAACTGGCTTTATTGGATTCTTAGTTGGCATCAAAAGTACGCAGGGACTTTTTGAATCTCTTGTTGCACATAGGCAAGCGCCACTCAAATATCTCCTTATGTACAAATTTAGTCAGGACCATCTTGAGTTGTTTTTTGGGGCAGTTAGGTCAGCAGGAGGTTTCAATAACAACCCAACAACAGGCCAGTTTACAGCTGCATATAAAAGACTTTTGCTGAGAAGCACCATTAAAGGAGGGAATGGTAACTGTGTGAAGCTGGATCCACTGGATAGTCTGCTAACAATCGATAATGTGACTAGGACTGATGTAGATACCTCTTTATCCAGTGTTTTGATGGCAAGGAAATATGATCTTTTTGTGAGGAAAGAGCCAACAATAAATGAACATGATTATGCAGATGCGCCAAACCTTTCATCCCTTACTGAATACAAACAAGCATCAATATCATACATTGCTGGCTATGTTGTTAAAATGGTCATGAAGCATATTCTTTGCTTTCATTGTTCTCAGGCTCTTGGTTCTAAGAATCAAGCATACACATCCAGCTTTTTCAAATTAAAAGACCGCGGAGGTTTAATAAAGCCAAGTAGAAGTGTTGTGATGGTATGTGAAGAAACAGAAAAATCATTCCAGCGAATGCTTCTTGCAACAGGTGGAGAGTTACCTCGCTCTTCTGGTATTCCAGATGCTATTGCTATGTCGGTATTGCAAAACATAGACACTTGTAAGGTCTTCCAGAAGCTTGAAAGCCACATGTTCGACAGTGAAAATTGAAGACAACCATATTTTCAGCCTTATCAAAGTCATTGCCAAGAGCTATTGTAAAATCAAGCTGCATCACCTTGGAAAGGAATATACTCAAAAACTGACAGGCACCCGTATTCGAAAAAAGCTGAGCAAGATTGTCGTTTTTAGTCATCAATGAACTTGTGTCATCCATTTATGTTTGAACAGCAAATATTTTCTTGTAGATAGGTTACTTTTCCTTGTATAGAAATATAAATCTCTTCTCTTTGATAACACCCTGTGTGCAACTTTGTTTTCCAAAAATATTTCACAACATAGATACAGCTCTCTAAAATTAAAAGAAAGATATGATTGTCTGCATGTTCATTTGTAATTTTTAATAGCAAATAATGTTGGGAATTAAATAATGGTCCCTAAATGAAGAGTTTAGCTAGGTATGAAAATCAACAGAAGTGTAAAACTCAATCGACTCAATCGACTCAATCGTATAAGGTCTGCTGTCTCAGATTCAATCCTTATTCTGCTTTATATTTTGCATCAACATTTCCAGTCTGTAAACTGCAACCCAGAACCTGATTTTTAAAAAAACTGGTAAATCATATCGACACTTACCTTACCGATTCAAATCCAACAACAGCAAACAAACCCAAACTTTGCGTACGGTGTAGGCCTATATTGCGTTGACATTTTCTGTTCTAAAGAATAAGATACTTCATAACAATAGTTTATCATAGTAATTTCATTCACTAGAACTCTTCGCCGCTTTTGAATATTCTACACAGCTCCCTTCCAACATGCTATCTCAAGAGGCTGTAACACTCTTCTCAGGCTGCAATGTGACCGAGTTAATATGGCCGCCAATTATTTGAGAGTCTTCAGGTCTCTAACAATAGAAGCTCGATCCAGTCTTTTTTATAGATCAGTGATTGTGCTAAGCCAAAATAAAATGGATTGAAGCACTTTAGGTATCCTTAAGTTTTTGCAGGACAGGAAAATCAAAACCTTTCTGGATACTGAAATGTTATTGTACTAAAATGGTGTATTCTGTTTCACCATTAACGAGTGTAATTCATGCACAACTAGTGACATTTTTCAATAATTAATATATGTTATTTATTTACATATAATGCTATGTTATTAAGTGAATCATTCCAGATTTTATTCTATGATACATTAGTTGCTAGTGCTAGAACCATATACTTAATAACATATTGATTTTAATGACATTTAATCAACAGCAAAGAAACGAAAAATACAAAGCAGCAAAGGATTGCCAGATAGAAAAAAAGTAAGAGATGTATTGTATTGTATTGTATTGTATTGTATTGTATTGTATTGTATTGTATTGTATTGTATTGTATTGTATTGTAATGCATGACGCATTTTAAACATTGAAGGTAGCTCAGTGATAAGATGTATTAACCCTTTGGCTGCCAAGGGGTCCTAAAATCGACCCCTTTATGTAAATTGCGTTTTTGAGCTCTTTGTTCTGGCCTCGAGGCTGAGAATTTCAAAATCAAGGCTTGATGTAGGGTCATTCCATCTCAGAATGAAACAAAAATTGTAATTTTTTAACCCACCACCTCAGGTTTGGATGATTTTTGGTAGACATGTTGAAAACCATGACATGAACATAAACTGAAAATTTCATCTTCATATCTTTTACTATTAAAAAGTTAGACGGGTTTGAAATTTTAATAATTTTGGCACATTTTTCAATGATCCGCCATTTTGAATTTTTGCTATTATTTACTTAAATTAGAACCGAAGAAGAAATAACACATTTGAAATGAAAATAAACCAGACAAGCTAATCAACTATGTAGATGTCAAAAACATGATCAAAAATTTCCAGTCACAAACAAAAGTCATTCTAAATATAGAAAAAGAAGGGAAGTTGTTGCCATGGCAACGGCCGGTGAGGATAATGGTGTGAATTTCATAATGTTGCTTAAGTTGGAATGATTTGAGTTTTTAAATTTGATTAGAGTACTAAAGGAACAAGCAAGATAGAAAAAAACTGTTAGGGTGTTTTCTTCCTTTATTGAAATATGGCATGTTAAAAATTGCCCAAAATTAGCATTTTCATGCAACAATCGAAGTAAGATATTCTCTCTCTTTTAAGCAAAGAGTGTTCAGTAAATCTAAAGAAAACAGTGTTGTGCATCTTTTAAAGCTCTGACTTCAACATCTTACAAATATATGATTCAAAAAGGTCATATTCACTGAGTGTCAATTGATATCAATGCAACAAACTTTCAATTATTTGACAAATTATGTACATCAAAATCTACAAAATGCTCAATTATATACATATTGTCTACAGTTCTATTTCAAGAGCATCTTTTGGTTCAAAGGTGTATTGCCTTCCAGTCATCGTTGATGGTTTTGGTGGTTGTACCTTTTTCAGAATGTTTGATGTTGGCACCCAACATACATCATCACGCCTTGGCCACATAAATGATACACATGGCAAATGTGGATGCAAAAATTTTATGGCAACATCTTTATTCTCACTACTGACTTCAATAGTCACTCCAACTCAGCAATGTGTATCATACCTGCACACAAGGTAATCTCCGATTTCAATAACGTCATGAGGTTCAATGACAGCTAGATTGAAATCAAACTTGACATCAAATTCAGGGGTTTCTGATATTGTTTTTGCTCCAATCAATGCTTTGGATTGCGGTACAAATTGATGGAACCCCCTAGTTCCTGGAATCGTTTTTGCAGCTGTCAAGCGTTTCTCAAGATCTTTTCTTGTCAAGTTGTTTTCCTCCTTTGTAATGTAATAGAAGTTGATTCCTTTGACTTCTGTTTTACAAAATTGAAATAATGCCTCAACAGAAATAATTTGGTTTTTCATTGGTCGTTGCAGGCTGACTTGAGCAGCTAAACGCTTAACTGTACCTCCAATCCCATCACATGGGGATTTACCATGGCTGGTGGCGAAGAAATTCCACTCACAACTAATTGTAAAGTCTTCCTTATGGTGGCACAAGTTTAAAAAATTCTTGCAGTTCTTATACTGGCCTGCACAACCATCAGAAAAGTAATGGACAACCTTTATGTCCATTGATATCATTTCCCTGATATGATGTGCAGTGCCTTTCAACACATTATACACGAAATGCACATCATGTTCCAGGTCATCGGATAAAAAGCATAATGATGTTGATCCAATGACTCCATCATTTCCTTTGTAGTAAATGACTACCGGATGTAATGAGCATTGCTTCTGGTTCCAGTGATAGCCCTGGACCTCATCTTGGATCACAAATTTAAAGTTTTCTGCAAAGTCCAGTAAAACAATGACTTCGTCCTTATTCAAAGTTTCTTTTAACCTCTTCAAATAAGAAGCTTGTGACTTTGCAATAAACGAATGGCTGGTTATTTGA